CCCCAAAACCCCAAAACCCCAAAACCCCATATGTCTGTATATTAAAAAAAACAGTCTGAATTCATTAATAGCAAATAATTAATAATGTCTTGATATTATTTTGTTTAATTATCAAATCAATTTCTAATATTATCTATCTATAATAAGTTTGGGTTTTCTAGATTCACATTAATTATAACTCCTTACTCTCTATATTAAATACTTGGCTATTATTTTATTTCTTGTTACTTCAATAGTTAATATCATCATTTTTAGAGTATAGCTTTTTAGACTAGCTGAAATTAATATCATTGTTTTAAAATTAGTCATAGATGCTTACTATATCATTATCCTTCTTTATGGCTACTGATCTTTTCTTTAGCCGTCTCAAATCCTTTTATTTATCATTATAGTTGATTACATTGCTTATTCTATTATCTAAATTGTTTTTATATAAGGGATTTAATCTTATTCTTTGCTCTGTGAGTACTGAAAGATCAAGTGTGAAATTTGTGGGAGCTTCTTAGCTTTTAGCACCACTAATGCTTTGAGATGATTACTATGGTGAGTTAGAATTCATTGTGGTTGTGCTTAAAATCTATACTGTTTTGTCTCTCTTGCATTTCTTACTTAAAAATCCAACAATAGCAGAAATAATTTATGCCAAAATTACGATGATTATGGTCAAGAAATTTATGCATACGTTACCACAGATAAGATATATGAAAGCCCACCCTGAGAAGTACCTCATAGTAGTATCTTATAAATAATCTGAAAATAAAAAGCAAAAGTATACTGCTAGAATAAATGTGCATTCATTCAATATTTCAAGAGCATTTTAATAAGAGCTATTCATAGGTCTAATTTTGCTAAGATATCCTATGTAATCAATGCAAACTATCAGTAAAGTAATAATCTGAAGTTCATAACTCAAGTAAGAAATAATAAAACTAAATAGCATTCTCTTATATAAAAATCTTATCAAAAGCAAGTATGACTCTTACCTATTTGGGTTTATATTTTCACATAATGTGCTGAACTAATCTTGAAATTATTTTGTCTCAATATTCAATCTATTCTTCCTTAAAAATATCAAAGACATGATTGGAAACATAAATGCCAAGAGCCCTGCAATTATACAAACAAAACTATTAATAGCCATTTTAATCTCAACAATGTCGAATTTATACTGAGCAATATAAATTGTGAAAAAGCAAAGTTAGAAATAATTCTCAATTATCAGTCTCAGAAAAAAGCTATAATATAGAGATTATGTCACCCCTAGGTAGAATTTCTTAATAAAATTTTGCTTATGAGGCTTATCTTAGTGGCAGGTAAATATCTTTTTTAGTACATAATCTAATGTAACAATGAACACTCCAATCGCTAGAAATTTAAGAGCATTTGAGAAAACTGATGTATAGAGAATATTTTCATATCCATATGTACTATATTCCTCTGGCATAAGGTATGCTTATTGTTTGTCTTCAGGTAGATCATAAATGTACTATGAAAGAATTTTAGCTTGAACTTCATTTTCAGGGAAAACATTAAAATTCGTGAGGTCTATTAGCATATTAATGAAGTACTAGGCATTAGAGGGCATATTAATTTTAAGCATTGGGAAATAAACTATTAGCTGTAGGTTATTAACTGCAGACCAAACTAAAGAGAGAGTTTGTGACCTAAAGATACTTATTCACAAATTATAATTACATGAAAAACTAGAGTATTAAATTTGAGCCCAGTCCAATGTTAAAAGCTTACTGAATTGCTTGAGCTGATTAATCCAATAATTACTTATCCTCTAAAATTATTAATTCAAATAGTCATACTTTTGCTTATCTGTTGAGGCAGCTACTATTTAACTATATACTACTTTAGTTTTCTCTTCTCTAAATTCCTGCCAGTATTAAAAACAAATGAAAATGCTAATTAGATTTGATCCTTGGCCTAAAATTTAAATTTCTAATTATTATCTTACTTCTGCGAGAGAAATTTCCTGAGGATATTCAAAGTTCAGCTGGATACTAAGAATTTTTCTTTGGAATTTGATAATCTCCCAACTAGCTAATCTAGCTTATTATTCTTATACTGGTTCAAATAGGATCTCAATTTTGATATTAGAGAAATTATTATATATCTCTGAAAATGTCCAGTCATGATAAAACTGCAAGGTCATCAGCCCATCTGCTTAAATATTCTTTACTTTAGCTTTGAATTCCTTATTAAACAAATAGTATTCATCTATATCTTCTTATTAAACATGAATTTAACTCAATTGTTGCTACAAATTGCTAACTGTTAGCATAGTCGTAACATTTATAGCTAGCACATAAAAGTTTTTCATCGATGGATATCCATTATCTATCAAAGTGATAGGTATTTGATATAAACCTACATCTTCTGGCATTGGATTAAAGCTGAATTAAAGACCTAAATAATCTGTGAAAATTTATGAAAGTCCCAAATCAACTATTACTTTAACAAAATTGTTATCTTCATCAACTATTTATTTATTAATAAAATATTAGCTTACTTATCTTTGGCAAATTATAAGCAAAACTCTATCCAACTAACAGATTTAATTAAGCAAGGGTTGTTTCAAATCTAGGTGCATACTAGTTAGTTTCAGATAATGGATCTGCTGTCATATTAAATGTCCAAGTGAAAGAATCATCATATGTTTTGTTAAAATCCTATATGATTGCTTTGATTTTCATTTTGTACAAGCCCACATCTGCAATATTGACTGAAAATATACTATAACTCATTTTATTTTAGTTGAACTTGATAAAGCTAGGCAATTTACTTCCATCAACTAATGTGCTCTCATACTTGATTGGGTATGAACATTTTGATAAAAACTTAATTCCTTAGAATGTAATTATCCTATTTTAGCCTAGTCTCAGATAATAATCAGTTGTCTGCTAGAGATAACTTATTTTCAATTCACATCCAATTTATACAATGAATTCAGTAGATGCCCAATTAAAAGGATTAAGTAAGTTAAATGATTTAAGCTGAAGAATATATGTTCCAATTGCCTTTATGTTATTGGTGAAGATTGTTATTATATTTTTATCAGCTGTAATTGGCGCACCTGCCTACAGATTTCTAGAATTTGAAATAAGGTTTCGATTTATCGTTACTGGTGGTGAAGGAGGAACAGGTATAATGACATCAATAGCCAAAGGGCCACTTATCTAAATAATTTCATAATCAATGTCACAATCTGATGGCCAGAAGCCAAATTGACCTAAATTTACTGTCATACTCGGTGCTGCAAAGTTATATTGTATAGGTTCAATTCTCTAAGGGTAAAAATCTATATTAGCATCACAGCTTATAGAAGCTAGATTTAAGTATAATTCTTTAAATTGACCATTTGGGAATGTGCAATTAATTGTAATATTCCAAATCACCTACAGTAAAATAAATTAATTAGTATTATTACCAAAAGATCTGACTAGGTATTTAGTGTAGTAGTATTTGAGACTAAATCTATGTTGAAATCATATTGTGAGCCTAATGATGAGTTTTAGAAACTAAGCTAGATATCATAGACTCTATTTGAATCATCGCATCCATCATCTCCAACGAATTGATTTGTTATTTCATAAAAAAAGCCCCCATTTTTCTTTAGATTTTGACTAAAATAATTATAACTTTCAATGCCTATGTTAAGTGAAACTGGCTTATTTGCAAATGTTGATGGGCATAAAGATGATTAAGGTAGATTAAGCAGTCCAATAGAAGACAGTGCAAATGCTGAATTAATATGATCAAGAGAGAAATCAGAACGTTATCCAAATGCCAAAGAAGTAAATATAAGATTAGGATCGCTATCTATAAAATAAGAAGCCAGTATTGGAGAAGTCGTAGCTATTGGGTCACATGCTTAAGTATCTTGAAAACTCATAACATATCCCTGCCTTTGTGCAGACGAGGCTTTTATCTAATAATTTGAAGCATAGAATACTTAATCTATTGCTAGAAACTTGGCTGCAGTAATTATGGAATATGTATCAATATACTATGAATTTAAAGTCACATGATAATCAATAACTCCAGATGAAAGAACATTTGATGCTTTAAGCAGGATAACTACTTTCGAGAAAACATTCTGATTAAGAAAATATAATTCTCCGGGAGTGTTACTAAATATCTGAAGGCATGTCTCAGTTGAACTAATTTTTGAAACAATTCTATTTTCTATTATTGAGTTTGAGCCACTAATGGAAAGATAAAAAGCATGAATGTCTATTCCATTTTAAGTTTATGAGTTAATGCATCCACTAATATATGTCATTGTGCTTTCATAAAGAACATGAATTATTTGGGTTATTTTATCTGTGAAAGTATAAGGCAATAACCATGTAAGATCTTAATAAAAAAATCCATAATTCCATTATGTTGAAAGTGTGCTTGTAACAACATGGACTTTTGATAGCAAGAAAAACATAGATGCATTATCAATGTAGAAACTACCAAGAATCATCTCCTATTCATTTTAACCAAAGACTAGCGAATAAGCTCTACTTTGAATTTGATAATATAATATAGATTCTGTTTAACTTATTGGATTCTAAGGTTAGAGTATGATCATATTCATTTGCCCATTCAATTTAGAACTACCCGCAGCAATAACTTTCCCTTCAGAAGAATAAAGAACATTATTACTATTCAGATTTTTCAAAAGTCCTTCGTTATTCCCACTGATATCACCGTAGTCTTTTATTTAAAAAAGCAGAGTACCATCTGTGCTAAAGATTAGATAAAGTGTATTCTAATTATTATTTTTTTCTTTGTCTAAAACTACAAGGACTGTGTCAGAATATTTTAAGTTATTCTTGAATTTAACAGCTGAAATGTACCTATAAAGAGATCCTTGTAGAGAAAAAGTCCATTAAACTTAATTACCAGGCTTGTAGTAACTAATGAATGTCTTTGTAGTATCAATCAATCCACCGACTGCTACATTTTAGAATCCATCTATGTCAAATGCAGTAACAGAAGTGTCTTTTGAATCATCATTGAAGTATATTGGATAGCTCATGAAGCATTACTATGAGCTTGATATCAAACACTGTATTATCTGTATCTCTAATGCAAGTAGGACAAGAAAAAAATTGGATATTCCTTTTAACTTCCATGCGCCTTTTTTTATAATTGGATCCATTCTATTTTTCCAGATTATAATGATAAATTATAGATTATTAAATATGATTTTATTAACTTGACTTCAAATTATCCCATATTTAACATAAATTTGGCATTTCGGGGTTTTGGGGTTTTGGGG